GCTTGAATGCTCCACGGGGGGGGGGGGTTTGAAATGTTATTGGTTTCCCCCCACCCCACCCCTGAAGTGCACTGGAGTCAGGGAGAGCTGGGGAGAGTTTGCTTTGTGCTAAAAACAGCAGTTGGTCCTTCCATGATAGGGATGGGTGGCATGTAGGTAAACTGGAGAAAGCAGCCGTGCTGGTAATCAAGGCTGTCCACTTCACATGGAAAAACATGGTTAACATAGCAAATGCTAACCTCCTGCCTTTGCATTGGTTAGCCCTATGCTACAGGCACCCGATCAATTTGACGGAGGAAAGATCAGCAAGGACACGCAAGTACTTTTGCAAACAAAAAGGTGGCTGGGGATCAGATGTTATTCAGAGCCGTCTCCATGCAGGCTGTCTGTGTTCATGCGGTGGTTGTGTCTGTACGTACAAACAGTATGTGCACGGTCGGGGATCCAGCTGTGTGGCTGCCTGGCCCTTTGCATGCAGATACCACAACTGCACACATCGCTCTGGTAACCATGCATGAAGCAGGCACACAGCTTTGCTTCTGCAAAATGTGCATGCAGTTTGAAAACAGAAGCAAAGGGGAAGCTGGCCAGGTTTTGGCCATTTTCAGTTTAAGGGGATAATCCAAATCCTGCTGAAATTAGTGGGAGTTTCCATTGTTTTCAGTGTGGAGCTCTGACCCCAAGGTGGTGTCCACCACAGCCTTTATAGTTAGATCAGTTCTTTCTTCTTCCCCAGGCAAAGGGGAACAAACCTTTCCCTGTTGCTTTTTTTTCCTTTCTTTTTTGATCTGTCCTGAAATGATAGAGCACGCAGTGCTTGGCAGCTTTATATTCCTAGCTAAATCATATTTCTCAGATAGGAAACTGCAGCAGCACAGGGAACAGCATGCTCGGTGGCACACACAAATGTCAGAGTATTTGCTGGCCTCTTATCAGTCTCTTTTCCTGCTGGCCTCTCTCAAAATAGGTTGGGTAAATAGCCTCATGCTTGCCAGCACTTAGGTCCAAAGACTTGGATGTTTCTGAACGGAATTATTTTTAGTCTGCTTTTGAAATCGCTCCCCTGATTCTCTCAGGAATTATGATTTTTATAGGTCTTTTTAATAGATCTGACTGTTCTGGAAGCCTTCAAAGTGCCTTTTTTTTTACTTGTGGCCTGCTTTTCGTGAGATGTGATGCATAACCATCGAGAGTACTTGTCTGGCATTCAACGCTGATGTTGGTAGTGTTGGTTGAACCAAGGATTATGGGATCAGATCCCAGAACAAAAGCGATTTATTTTGTTAGTAATGTGGTAAGATGCACAAGATTGTATGGAGATTTGTTGAATCAAGCTACTGTGGGCTGGGGGTTATGGCCATGTCTTTATTAAAAAAAAATGCTGGGTCCCTGGGGGATGTGGAGAGGTCTAGACTGGTGGTGACCAAGGTATGGCTGGATCCAGTCAACGGAGCTGTGTTATCTGGCCTCTGTGGGGAGGCCTGCGGGCCAGACGTTGTGGGCCTGTGCACTGAATTGGGCTCACAGATTGGCCTTGTGCCGCTCATCCAGTTCGTGGAATGACCCCACACCCTGGATCTGGCTTGCCAACAGGGTCCAGATCACTCAGCTGGCCTGGGGTGGGTTGCTACTGGTCTAGACACTTTTACCTATTCCTGTTGTGGGGGGAAAAATCCCCTGCAAAAAGGGAGTGAGACAAGTACTCATTCACGCACAGTGCCACCCCCTTACACGTCTGGTCTGATCCCTTTGCTGGCGCTCACCTGTGTACTCTGTGTTTCTATTGCAGGCAGATGCTTGTGAGCATCGGACAGAGCGAGTACCCGTGACCGGTGCAGCGGAGGCCTGATGTAGATGCCAACATGGGTAAGGCGTGGATTCCTTGGGAGTTTTTGATTCTCTGGCCTCTTTATCCTGGCTCGGTTCTGCTGACAAAACCTCCAGCGATGCTGAGTGAAGCACCCGCAGAGAGGGCCTGGGGCATAATATTCACCCGCTTTGCTGCTTTGCGTTCCAGTTCAGCCAAGGGTCGCTTACCAAATGTTGTCTGGTGGGCCGGGAACTAGTGTGGGAGTCTGAGGACCGGGGGTCTTTTCCCAGCTCTGCCACTGCCTGGCTGTGTAACCTTGGAGAGGTCATTTCAGCTTTCTGTGCTGCTCAGTGTACAAGCTGTGTGGACTGAGGCATGCTTCTATCATACTACCTTCTTATAAGCCCTATTATAATACTACCAACAATACCAGCCTGGCTAATGTATATGTGCATGTGGTTTCTACTGGAGGGTGTCAGGACAGCTCAGTAGTATATCACAGGCTCCACGTTGCTATTGGAGACTCCTCTTTCCAGTGGTAGGTGCTTACAGCTGGAGATGGAGAAGGATCTCTCTCAGGTTTGCTGCTGCTATGCATGTGGAACTTCATAGAGAAGTCCTAGGCTGCCACAGTTGTTACGCTATGCACTTCATGCTCATCACTGTTGTGATTTTTAAACTGCGATTTGGGGATCTAGGCACTTAGTTCTTATTGACCTTCAGGGGGCCTTGGCACCTGACTCTTTAAGACGTCTCTGAAAATCCTGCTCTGCAGGTCTTCACAGGAAACTCATAGCCCTTCCATCAAGGAGGTTGCAGATCTAAACGTATTGCAAAGAGTCGGGACATTGCTAGCGGGCTCACTTTGTGTCTCAGTCTCTCTGGGGACCACTGCTGAAACGCTGCATGGGAGAAGTGTGTGTCAAGAAGGGGTATGATGGAAAACTGGCTGCTGGGGGCTTCTGGCCCAGGATAAGTCATTTTATCCAATGACATTTTACAGACATGTAACTAGCAGAGCAAAGCTCTTGCAAAGAAGACACTATCTTAGTGAAAAAGTTGGATTGAGCCCTTCCTAACTGATCCAGTTTGCCAGCAAATGCATCAAGTTCCACTCCCAATAGCAGCAGGATTTCAGACTCTCTCTTCTTTAAGACTCTTGTCTTTCATTTCTCCCAGTCTAACAGGCCTTAAACTCTAAATGAACAGGGGCTGCTGCTTATCTCTCCCGGCCAGCTGGGTTCTGTCACATGTTCCTGTCACGCTGATTCCCTGAAATAATTTCCTTCACTTCCAAAGACAGTCTCTCTCTTTCTCTTGATTGGGGATAAGCACTTTTCTAGGCGCTAGATCTCCACTGCGTAATCCATCCCAGGACAGTACTGATATCAATTGAAAAGCTGTTAGCCAGGCTGGCTGAAAATATGGAAAAATTCACAATCTGCAAGCTGTTCAGGAATTGTTAGCCACCATTGCAAAGAAAGATAATTGGGGCGAAGATTTGTTTGGTTTGATCTTTTAATAAATGTTGTTCTGCACTCCTTACCTCTTGGCTCCCTCTCTTCCCTCTTGGTTCCATCTGAAAAAGTCATAAAAAGGGGAACATAATATGATCGTTCTTGGCTTTTAAAACTTTCTTTTCCAGTGGCAAAATAGAGGAGGGAAGGTTGTTTGGTTTTTTTTAAGTAATAGAAGAAGGAAAGAGTGGCATAAATCTTTCATTATAAATATAAAAAAAAATACACTTCATTGAGGAAAAACTCAAAAAACCCCCCGGAAAACTCTATTAAGGAAACAAACTGTCTTGTTGTTGTCAGTTGTTTTTTGTTTTTTTTGTGGGGTGAAAAATGTTGGCTAGCAGTACTTTGTTTTCTTTTCATTATAAGTATGAGTGAGCGGGTGCTTTCAACCCGCTTCTTAGTACAGGGGTCCCCAAACTGTGGCATGTGTACCCCTGGGGGCACACAAGGCATCTCTGGGGATTATTCAGGAGAAATGGTATAATGGCGGATTTAATTTTCATTATTATAATAGTTGGCATTTAAGGGGCATATAAAATGTATGCTGGTAGGGGTACGGGGGCAGCTGGTAAATCTCGAAGGGGGTACACAATAAGAAAAAGTTTGCTTTAGTGGATAGATGGTTTGATTGCTGCCTGCCTCCTGTCCATGCTGGAACCTGTCTGCCAGTAGCTGCAAAGCCTGTGGCTCATGTAGGCGCACCTGAGCTAGCTTTAAACCAGCTCGTCTGAGTGCTGTTGGCAGTGCAGCCCAGCAACGTGGAGGTCAGCATGGGCTGCAAAACTCATGTGAGAAGCTGGGTAAATGCTTGGAGAGAGCGAAGGGCAGCCTGTGCTTGAACTCCATCATTCCCAGTGCCTGAGCCTAGGTAGTTAAGGATGTCTTCAGGAGTTCCCAGGACTGTGGTGCAGGCGTACCCCAAACCCAAATGAAGAGTCCCCTTAGAGTAGGATTGTGGCTGGCTTATGTTTTGTTGCACTCTGTAGCGCTCTGCTGTGCCTTTTATACCCTTGACAGCTGCTTAGATCCCTTGATACATGCATGTCTGCAGCTTGGAAATATCAGCTGTATGTAACACAGGTGTATTACGCACCGAAGACAGGCTAGAAAGGCCAAGCTACGCTGGGGGTGGGAGGGAAAAACCAGTGTGGCCATACCTGGTCTCCATGGGCCAATTTGGGTAAGATGGATATAAGATGTAGATCAGCTATAAGATGTATATCATTGCTGATTTGATTTTCCTGTAAGAGCTGCTAGGCTAGATGTGGAACAATGGGAGCTTATGGGGAGAAACTGCAGAAAGTGGAAGGGAAGAGTACCGAGTTTTCTTCTGATTCCTAGTCTGTTGGGTGAAGGATTATTATTAGTCTGTAGCAGCCAGTGCTTGCAAGAATAAAGAGAACAGATACTGCTTACTAGCCAGGCTGTGGGCACTGGGGCTATAGCCTCTAATGCAGCTGCACATCCAGCATCTTAATTTGGACTTCCACACTGGATTGCAGGCAGAGCCAGATCACTAGCATGAGATGGAGTTAGGCGGGTGGTGGGGGAAGGCTGCAGACTAGGGAGTCTCAGCTGGGATGCTGCAACACCCCGGGGTGTCAACAGATCCTTGGAAGGGTGCTATGAGGACATTCCTGCCAGGCCACACCACTGTCCCCCCCTGCCCGGTCCCTCTGCAAGGAGGTAAGCACCGTGTAACACACCCAGAGAGAGGTAGGGCTGGAAGAGACCTCCAGAAGTCATCTAGTCCAGCCGCTGCCTGAGGCAGGATCATCCCTAGCCAAACCGTCCCATACAACACTTGAATCTGAATTCTTCATAAAACTACCCTCAACTCTGACACAACACAAGACCTAACGCCCTATCCTGCTGCAGGTGAAGGAGGGGAATGATGGCAGGCAACCTCTTGCTTCCATAAAAGGTGGTCAATGTATCTGCAAGAGATCCCAGGTGGAATAGAGGGCCACTCAAGTCATAGAAGTTATGGAGGGGTGCCTTGAGTCTAATTGCATTTGGCTGTCATTCAAGCCTACAAAGGCTGAGAACTACTGCTGTAGACTGAAGTCGCAGAGCGCTCTGTGAAGCATGCACCCGATACAAGACCAGAGGAGGTGGTTGCTGCAAGGCCTGGGTCCGAAGCGTGAAGCGCCTCGGATACAGGGACGCAGTTCTCAATTGTTTTTGGAAATGGAAGTGACGGTCTGCTGTCGGTTTGCAGACTGTAATAGTAGCTGCTGGATCGGGGGAGCACTTCGACATCTTAATTTAGGAGGGTCTCGAGTATTTTGACCATAGCTAAGGCTGTGGGTTTTGACGGGGGTGTGCTGGTGCACTTGAGAACCTGGTCGCCTCCTGCCTGAGGGTCGTCGTCTTCTACTTGGGGTCTGGATGATCACCAAATGTGGAGTGGGGAAGGAATTATCCCTCACACTCAGGATGGTGGAGGGGTTATTTTTTGCATAGGTCATTGGTATTGCTCTTGCGTCCCCTGTGCTTAGCTATAGTGCATCATAGGATGTTCTTGGCCTTGTGGTTGTCTGCCTTGTAGTTGTGGTGACTGAGGATTTGAAGCAGATGATTTTCAAGAACTCCTGGGTAACCGGCTACTTGCGAACAGCGGGCTGGACTGTGGACTCTGTGACCCTTTTCCACCCGCAGTATTTGCTTCTGTTCTCTTCTGGAGAATCCCAGTGACGCACACACGCCTTGGAGCTGACACTCACTACAAAGTGGAGAAATAATCCAGGTGACAAGCGGAGAGGAGCTTGTCTGAGCCCTCGAGTATAAAAGTTTGGGCCTTTTGGGGGTCGGGGGGCAATTTTCACCAAAACACATTTAACAGCAGGGAAGGGAGAAGTCTGTATGAACAGCACCAACGGCTGTCCTGTCTAATTGTTCTTGCTCAGTGGTGATTTGTATGTCCCAAACAGGCTTCTTGTGTGCAGGCGTGTTTCTGTGTTTGCACGTGTGCATTAAGTGTTAATTTAATTACTAAAAAGCTTTTGAAGTCAACTGGGGACTGTCCACGCCTACATTCAGGTCTGTGCATATCTAGCCCTGAGGCTTAACATCATGTGCATGTGATCTTTTTCTAAAAAAAAAAAAAAAATGGGCCAGAACGTTGGCCTGTGTTTTGGCAGAAGGGTAAGTTGAGGGCCAAGAAAAGGAAAGAACAGGATTGTGTTAGTGGGGGGCACACAGCAAGCAAGCCCCCTGCATTACAGGATGCCTTTAGCAGGGGATCCTCCGTGGTTGTGCTCTCCCTGGGCCACTTTGGGTGCAGGGGCTGTGCCAGGCCAGGCTGCTGGGCGGTGGGACCGACTGCGGATAAGACAAGGTAGAGCACGGCCGCTTTGTGGCTGCATCATGGCTTTGCCCTCCCTCCACCCTGGAGACCTAGAGGGGCTCTTCAAGCAGGGTTGGGTTTGAAGGATAGCCTGGGCTGGGCTGGGGGTGTCATCCGCTCCAGCAGCCCCATGGAAACAGGCACAAACCACCTCCGCCCGTCCTGCCATTGCTGCTTGTACCCACCC